GAAGGATCATGTGACACTGAAGACTGGAGTAATGATGCTGAAAATTCAGCTTTGCATCACAGAAATAAATACCATTTTAAAGTATATTTAAATAGAAAACAGTTATTTTAAACTGCAATAATATTTCACAATATTACAGTTTTTACTATATATTTTTTTATCAAATAAATGCAGCCTTGGTGAGCAGAAGAGACTTCTTTTAAAAACATTTAAAAATTCGTAATTATTCCAAACGTCTGACCGGTAGTGTATGACATGGTGTGTTATTAAACTTAAACTATGCTTTGACAGCAAGCGATACTGTTGCTGTGCATGCATGTGTGTGTGTGTGTGTGTGTGTGTGTCTGTGTGTGTGTGTGTGTGTGTGAGTGAGAGGCTGGCAGAGCGCTTGAGTATCATGTACATTTTGTATTGAGTTACCATCTCTGAGAATCTGAACTCAAGACCTTCAACAACTACAGTATCTCACACATCTCTTAGTTTTGTTTTTATTTATGAATCATTTTGACCTTTAAGGATGTTCCCAAATGGAGGTTTTATCTGATTAAGCTTCTAGGTGCAATTTTGTCCCTAAAATACAGCCACACACATCTTGAAGAGTGTAGATGAGAGTGTTATATAACAGGAGATGTAAGCATTTGCTTCTATATGTGCAGCCTCTGCATCTTTGTTTCTATGTAAACACACACACACACACACACACACACGTGACCATCATGAGTTCATAAGAAGGTGGCGTATCCCTCCGCGGAGGTCTTTAGAGTGAGATCCAGCGGGCCGGGACGGGTTTAGCACTGCTGATCTGGTCATGAGCGCTCACACTGCTGCAGTTACGAGCCAATAATCTGTTCTCTGTACACTCAATATAGATCCACAGGACTCAGAAAACCAGCAGAACAATGCCAGAGAGAGAAACTAGTCTGATTTAATTCATTTAACTTAACTGAATCCTTTTTTATGAAATGCATTGATTTCCCAGTGGTATTTAATCAGATTCGACATCCAGTCTTTAAATATCCTTCCAGCAAAAATCTAAATAATCATAAATTAGACTATTTTAAGGAGCCAATATTTTGTATTGAATCAAATGATGTCAAAAGAAACCCAGATATTAAAATAGCCATTTTTAGATCAACAAATCAATATTACACAATGGCATGTTGTTAACTGTGTAAAGATATGGTTAAAAAATGCCACAGACCAGATACATCACAAACTGGCTTTGATGTATTATCGTTAAAAATTTTACGGTTTTTTTTTTTTAAGAAACTAATACTTTCATTTAGCAAGGGCGCATTAAACTATCAAAAGATAGTAAGATAGTTAGTTTGATAGTAAGATCAAAAGACATTTGTAATGTTGCAAAAGATTTCTATTTCAAATAAATGCTTTTCATATGAACTTTCTATTCATCAAAGAATCCTGAAACAAACGTATCATGATATCCACAAAAATATTAAGCAAGGCAACTGTTTTCAACATTACAATAATAAGAAATGTCTCAAATCAGCATATTAGAATGATTTCTGAAAGGTCATGAAGGATCATTTGATCAAAAAAAATGCAGCCTTGTGAGCAGAAGAGACTTCTTTTAAAAATATAAAAAATGTAATTACTTAGAACTTTTGACCAGTGGTGTAACTAGCAGAAGTTATTTAAATAAGTAACGATTAATATTTAACACAGCATATTTACAGATAATTTGTGGATAATTACTTCAATCTACGAGAGAAATGCAGAGAAATGACGCCAAAAGACAATAAAAATTAATCGCATCAGCATCACTCTAATTCTTAGAACATTCGGTCATACTATTATAATGACAAAGAAAGAGAGAGAAAATACACACACACACACACACACACATAATGACAAAAATACCCACACATGCAATAACCCTGCAATGAGAGTAAGTCTTAAATTACATGTGGAATTGTTTATTAAGTTAATAGTATTTCATTGATAAACAAAGAAGCTCATTCTTACATTCTTAAACTCCTTAGACCATTTTACTACACTCAAATGAACAGCTCTCTCTCTCTGTTTGTGTGTGTGTGTGTGTTCGGCCAGAAACATACGCTGTCCCAGCAAACAGGGAGCATTCTCAGAACTTTGGCTAATGTTCTGACAAGGTTTTCTCAAAGTTACAAACAAATGTTCTTCCAGTAACATTAATAGAATGTTCATTCAGAGTTGTCTGGGCTGCATCCGAAATCACAGAGGTGAAAAAGCATGTGAAAAAAGCAGTGTGAAAAAGAGCATACTTTTTTAACGGTTGCTAAGTAATTACTTATGCGAAAGAAGTACCTACTAAGAGAGCATATGATTTTGACAGCCCTGGTTTTTAATATTGTTTTCAAAACGCTAATGGAACATTTTTTTCTAAAGTCCTTTTTTAAATGTTACTACTTGTTTTAGATCATTCAGAGAACATTCAAAAGTACCATTCCAATAATGTTTGTAATATGATGGAATGGAATGTTCCCTTAACATTCGCATAACCAAGAAAAAAAAGTTTTTCAAAGCTAAATCTGGACATTTTGAACATTCACAGAACATTCTGAAATAACCTGGGAACGTTAGCAAAATATTCTTAGAACATATTTTTGCTACCTGGGACAAAACTGCAAGCCAGCGTTATGTTAGTATAGTTGAAATACTTTTATAGCTTTTTTAATTGTTTATTTTATTTCAGTGAAAGTTTATTTTATTATAATTATTTTTTATGGTTTTAGTTTTAGTTAACTAGGTGCCACATTTGTGTGAAGCATTTTCTAAAAATATGTCCCGAAAAGTTCATTTTATCTATA